CCAGAAGGACAGTGGAAACACTGGTCTGACTCAGGATCCATTCTCCTATATTAAAGGTTAACATATTCACATGTTATTGCCGACCCGCACAGTATCCTCAAAGTAGACTGTTTCGTGGGGCAGCCAGATGGCGGTTAGAGGGATGTGGCCTGCTTCAATCTCTGTAATGTGCCTGCAAGCATACAACACTATACTCCCCAATATACTTTGTATAGTGTGCTACCTGATGTTAGTGCGATATGATACGGTTTCATCACAAGTGACCATATCTCGTACATGACCATTCCAAGCTCCACACGTCACTGGCAGTCTAGTACTTCTTGTAGTGGAGAGCCTCTGGAGCTGTCCATTTCACAGGGATTTCCCTCCACGAGAGACATAGTAGTCAGTGTCTTGCAGAACTCGAGACATCCAAAGTCAGCATCTGCATGGTGGATATCACCAATGTCCTCTTGCTAGACTGTGGGTGAGTTAGTTATACTTTGCAAACTTCCATATCAGAGACGAGGATGTTGCTGGCTGCCAGGTCTCTGTGGACGAAGCCCCCGCCAGCCAGGGTAGGTCATTGCCTGATGTCACTTGCGACAGAAACTGATCATGTTGCTGCGAACTTGACCATCTGTATATGCTATTCGTGCACCAGAACTGCATTGTGATATACACGCTCATTACACATCATCTTAGCGACATAAACAAATTATTTTGTTAGTGATAGTAATACCTCTGCCTTATTTCAAGTAGATACTCCTTTAGGTTTCCTTTTGTCATCATTTCCACTACTAGCATTGGCTGTAGGACAATAAGTAGCACAACAGTGTATTGTATAATACTACAGCTTACATTAGGCTGGTGCTATGTAAGGAAACTATATATACAACAGGAAAGTACCATGTGACAGTAATGCATAATCTTTCACGGTCCAGAAGAACCCCATGGAGAGTGATGACATTGGGATGTTTGAACTGGCCCATGATGGCTGCCTCCTGCAGGAACTGAATGCGTTTCTCCTCTGTGGAGCCATCTCTCAGTGACTTGACAGCCACCTCCCTCTCCTCTCCCCCCACACTCCACACTCCCCTCCTCACCACACCAAACTCACCACTACCCAGCTCATCAGACAACCTGCATTATAGTAGCATTGAACTTTACTGTTTGTTTTCTACTCTGTGGCATACTGAATGTTGTCCTTGGAAACATCCAGCACTCCACTCTTGCCGAGTTGAGCTTTCAGTTCCTCTTCAATGTTTGACGGCTCCCAATATGGTCCCTCCTCATCATACGCCTCACAGTCATATTCATAGTGTGGCCCTAGCACAAGTGGCTTGTCATGTAGTATTGGGTTGCTGCCACTCCCAATGCTGACATAGCTGGGTTGAAACGACCCCAAGTCTCTCGTTTGCGCTTCGCTCTCAGACAATAGCGGATCCTATGAAAATATTATTCAGTTTTCACCTTGTTGACACATTAATAATGATAGTTGCATCATTGTGATACGTATATATATCATGTATGGTTCTCCAGCCCAAGTATTACTCGTCGTATTAAGTGAAAAAGAGTAGCTGTTTGATGAATCCTGCAGGTTAGTGTAATAATTATAATATCTGTCCGAGCACATTAATTGGAACAGCATAACGTTGTGTTGTAGTGCTGCATGTGACCTCAGCCAAAGTTTGCATAAAGTGGAAAAGTGTGCGTTAACCAAGCTCTTAATGCGCAATATTTATAATGGTGTGCATGTGACAAAAGATAAGGATCTGATTGGCTGAAGGTCACATGAGCAGCACAAAGGTAAAACACACCACTCCCACAGGTGAGGCGGGGGGTCCCAAACCAGTCTGAGGCTCTAGTAGGGCCTCTTTCACCACTTTTGGGTTTTCACTCTGGCTTCTGTTGCCCCGCCGTGCATTGTGTGCCCTGTAAACGACCCACGCCACGACAATGCAGAGCATTGAGCAGAGAAGAACGACAATAAACACTGAGAGTGTGATGGTAATTGTTGTGGAGTCTGAAGGCGTAGCTGCAAGGAGAGAGAGAGTTCAAGTGAGTCAGTGAATCTTGGTGTAGACGCTCGACAGAGAAGAACTGTGGTGTATTCAAAACTCACGTGTAGATTTATTGAGCTCAATTGTAGGGGTCGGAGTCTGGAGGGTCCCCTCAATTTCTGTGGAAAACAACGAAGACATTTAGCTACAATTTAGTATGGAAAGGACAAGTTTAAACTTACGTGGTTGTATGTAAGCTTCAATAGCAAGCAGCATGCCACAGAGTTCCTGTGAGGTGCTGAAATCGAGGTCATCGCTGTATTTGATACATGACGTGACGTCAGTGGTTTCAAAGACTGGGAGAAATGGACAGAATCTCATATTTTCCTCAGTAATGCATTCTGTCACTTCAAAAACAATGAAATCTCCAACCATAACCTCCAGGTCCAGACTTTTCTCAAATTCACCAATTCCGTTATTGTCATCGCAGTCTCCAGTAATAGTGGTGATATGGCTGGGAATTGTCTCGTGAATCCTAGTATGGATTCCTGCGGGCAATGTGTAGCCGCATGCTGTACTGAATCCTCCCATCTTGTGGACTGTCGTCTGATAAACAAACGCCCCGTCCCGAGACAATCTTCAGTGTTCCAGTGCAAGGGATTGGTCGGGGAGGAGCAAACAGGCCCGGTGTCAGAGTGGGGACACTGACATTGTCATTCTCTTGTGACTCGTAGCCTCTCACAATGCAAACTAGAGAGCAAAACACTAAGTATGGCTAAATTAGTTCTCCCTCAGATAATCATGTGTATTTTAGTGGCCCACATGCACACTGTCTGCTGGATCAAATATTGTTTACGTAATCTATAATAGATACCCAGGAAACTTGCCTGGGGATGTGGTGTAAGAATATAAAATAAGTAGACTGAGAAGTAATTGATCTTTGCCTGCAAAACTCTTGTAGGACAGGGTTGTATAAAACATGGACTTTTGACTACTAAATATAACTTACGTGGTTGTATATACGTGAGCCTCAATAGCAAGCAGCATGCCACAGAGTTTCCGCCTGGGTCTAAGATCTAGGTCGTCACTGTGTAGGATACATGATGTGTTGTCGGAAGTTTCAACAACAGGGAGAAAAGGACAGACTGTCATATTGTCTCCAGTAGAACATTCTTCAATTTCCACTACAATAAAATCTCCTGCCAACACATTCAGGTCTAGACTTTTCTCAAATTCACCAATTCCACTATTTCCACAATGTCCATTAATAGTCGTGATATAATTGGGGATTGTCTCAAACGTCTCTAAGTCTGGGTTGAAACGGGCAATGTGTAGTGTCATGTCATACTGAATTGTCCCCGCGTCATCCTGACTGTGATGTGAAAGACACACGCCCCGTCCTGAGATGGTCTCCAATATTCCAGTGCAGGGGATTTACTGGGAAAGGCCAAACAGGCCCGTTGTCAGACTGGGGACTCTGCTGTTCTCTAGTCCTTTGACGCTGCAAGCTAGAGAGGAGAGCAAACAGCAGTAATAACAATTGAGCTACGTAGCTACGATGCTCAGGCGCGCTTACCTATGCAGGAGTCTGTCAAGCAGAGAAGACCTGTGATGATCGCAAGCCACTTCGAATTGACCATTGAACCAGTCGCTCAAAATCTCAAAATCGTCTTCACTAACAGGCGTGTAGCTAAGTGTATGCGTACGGCCCGCGCGCGCTTGCGCACACGTAGAAATGTGCCGTCAATGTCAGTAACTTGCTGGGACATTTACTTAGGCTTATCTAGCTAGCTCTAATATGATCCAGTGGGTGATGAGGCAGGTGCAGTATGTATCGAGGTAACAGCACTTTATTATTATACTATTGCACTTTCTGTGAAAACTGGTGCACATCACGAGTCCCAAAACCTTTTGGCACAACCCCCCGCTTCTATTGACACCAAGACTACACAACAGCCAAAGTGGTCCATAAACAGAGTTAATTTCGGCCATTATGCCATGCAGAGTTGCTCTATGCACTCTGTCTGTGCAAATGTTCTCAGAACGATATGAAATACAAAGTGGTGGCTGAGTAGGGAGTGGCGTTTGCAAAGGGGCAAGGAATGAATGCTGCGTAACTGACCAATTTCCTATGTTGTGAATAGATGTTGGTGTTATTCCACAGTGTCCAGTTTTGTCCAGTGAATACAGAGCGCTGTATACACAGAAGCCTAGCCTGTGAAAAGCCTAGCGCGCCAACGACAAGCGCATGCAATCGTGAAAACCCCATAACTCAGCTACTTCTAAGCTATTTACAACTTGCACCTTGGAAAACCACGAAGATTGGATAAGGCGATATAGCCTCGGTCAGGCACCGAAGAGTGCATCGAATGCCGCCGAATGGACAGCAGGAGTTCTCTCATGCGCATGTGCATGCGCAGTTACGCGCCGCTAAATCGCGGACCACGCCCTCCGTGGCTCCACGTACTTTCTCGGCTACGCATGCGCAGAATTATTCGAGCGGCGCAGAAAACTAGTTTTGAGGTGTAATGGTTGCTTTGGTGGTAATAGTTACTGTCCTTTTTGGTATACACGGAGTCGCCGCTGAGGACGGTATTTTAGCTATTGTGTATTGTAGTGTTAATCAGTTCTCTCTCCACAGAGTGCGTTCGCATTATACGTGAGTATGATGAAGACGAATATGAAGAGCTAGCAGCGGAACCCATGAAAAATCTAGGATTCTACGGCTATACACTGCCGTGTGGAGGCATTGTCACTTCTGTCGAGGCTCGCGGGTTCTGTGGCAGACCCGAAAATGGTGAAATGCGATTGACAAGTGGTGTAAGAGAAAAGTATATTCATCATGATGTATTATTGGCTGCAAAGTGCAGCAAAACCGCGATGGTTTACAATAATTACGAAGGGTACGTCAGCGCCACCGGTCTGAACATCACTGTCCCTCGAAGTGGTATTCTGGTGGTGCACTTGGACCCAGATTGCACTGTGAAGTGTTACTTTCAGCCAGCAGTTATAAATGAAACCAGCAACTACGACGTAGGTTTTGCTGATAGCCACTTCGTATGGTCTCACACAAATATGTCTCTCTTCTTCTCTGCAAACATTACAGGTAATTGCCACATATTATAGTCAAGTATCAAGTAATACACTTCTTATGGTTTCAAACAGAGTTACCAGAGGTGCCAGACGAGACTAAGGAGTTACCAGAGAGTAAAAATAGTGATGTCCTGTATGTGATAATAGGAGTCCTCTGTTTCTTGCTGCTGTGTGCAACACTAAGCATTTTAATTGCTCTTTCCATCAAAAGGTGGTCCAAAAAGACACCAGTAAAGTTATTGCACTGTGTAAATTTGTATACAGGTGTGGGTCAATAATCTCAGCAAGTGGTGAAATCCCAACATCAACCAATGAAGCATATTGGAAGGTGGAAAGGCAATGAGTTGTTGACGATCTCAAATGGAGAACCTCCTCCTCGCAGCAGGCCTCTCCCCACAATCCCTTTCCCTCTGTCTGGTGCAACAGAGGAGGAGGACTGTACTACTGCTGTCTATGAGGCATTCCTGGAGATCACTGACTCGTCTAGTTTGAATATTTACTACTAAGATAATGATGGATAATAAAGCAAAAGTGTCTAGTTGAGTTTGTATATACAACACTTCTAATGGACGCATTGGACATAACTTTTTACTATTTCAGTAATGACAAACAGCATCATGGCATGTGTGTATTTTGCAATGTGTGTGAGTCACATAACATAACTCTAAGTGGGACAGTATTTGTTTTGGGGAGAGACAAAAATATCATGCCTAAAGTTTACTTTGACATGAAACAGTTTTGAATGTCAATGTAGAGTTCCTCTCCTGCCTCCAGGGGAACTCCCAGTGTTCTGGCCTCTTCAGTGTAGGCAGCCACATCCTCTGCCGTCCATGTCAGCAACTTGAAGTCTGGACGCATGAGCTCCACTTGAACCTCGGGGAAAGTGGGTCTGGAGTGTGGCTCTGGGTGCCTGATAGAAACACAGGGTGTCAGATAAGCAATTAGCATGTGCCCTAGTTAACAATCTGTGATGTCTGGCGAACTTTTCTTATACTAAGCAATACCAGAGCAGCTAAGCTAGTATAGAGCAACTCTGCATGGTATAATGGCAGAAGTTAACTCTGTTTTATTACTCGTACCAACAACAGATCATGGTCTGATAGACAGCTCTAGGACATCCAGGTGGGGGAGGGAGACGATATCCTGACTGGATCTTCTCATAAACCTATGTATTACACATGACACAACAATTATTGTTTTGTTGTTAAAAATTAACCTCATTATTAGTCATGATAAAGTAGGGTGAATCTCCCAGAGACCATATTTCATACATGAGAACTCCAAAGCTCCACACGTCACTGGCAGTCGAGTACTTCTTGTAGTGGAGAGCCTCTGGAGATGTCCATTTCACAGGGATTTTCCCTCCACGAGAGATATAGTAGTCAGTGTCTTGCAGAGCTCTGGACATGCCAAAGTCACCAATCTTAAATTTAACAAGCAACAGTTACGTAAGTAGCTACAAGTAAGTCTGTTTATTTACTTTGCAGACTTCATCTTTAGACACGAGAATATTTCTGGCAGCCAGGTCTCTGTGGACAAAACCTTTCCCTGAGAGGTAGGCCATCCCTGAGGCTATGTGGCGACAGAAACTCATGAGCAGTGCAGGTGTGTGAGCTGGCAGTGACTCTGAGGTGTCCCTGTGATAACACCAGTCAGTGGACACTGAAAGAATGCTTGGGAATCATGGTGTACTTACGAAGGCTTTAGTGAGTGTAAGTAGCTACTCCCGAAGATCACCAATGTGCATCATCTCTAATACTATCATCATCTGGAATGAAAACAAACTGTTTACTATACTCCCTTTCAATGAGATTGTCTAACTGAGTCGCAGTCTAGGAGAACCCCATGGAGAGTGATGACATTGGGATGTTTGAACTGGCCCATGATGGCTGCCTCCTACTGGAGAACTCATGCTTAGTGTATCAAATGAATGTTATGTAGATTTTCCAGTGAGCTGGGTAGTGGTGAGTTTGGTGTGGTGAGGAGGGGAGTGTGGAGTGTGGGGAGAGAGGAGAGGGAGGTGGCTCCACAGAGGAGAATGAGATGGTGTATTCTGTGAGCTGTTTCTTCAGCTCCTCTTCCACACTGGCTGGCTCCCAGAACGGCATGTCATGGTCTCTGCTGAACTCAAAGAGTCCCTCAGCTGAGGCTTGAGGTGTTTCATTGCCCCACTTTCTGACATAGTAATCTCTGACATAGTCATAGAAAGGTTGTGTGACACTGTCACACCTACGTTCTTGTAGTGTTGGACATATTGAAGGGGTTGGTTGTTGAGAGTGATGGTCTGGAATGGGATATTACGCTTATTAGTGAGCAGGATACATTTGCATTTGGTGATGTTGAAAGACAGCATGTTCTCCTGAGACCACTGAAATAGGCAGTTGATGTCTCGCTGAATTTCAACATAGGAGAAATCAGAGGTGATAGGCTTGTATACCAGCATGTCATCAGCATAGAGTGACTTTTGAGAGAACTGAAGATTGGTGAGATCATTGATGTAGAGGAGAAAAAGTAATGGTCCCAAAACTGAGCCTTGTGGAACGCCGGAACGAACTAGAGTAGACGTTGAGTGCTCACCGTTCACTAAAACATACTGTTTTCTATCACTGAGATAGCTACATAACCATGAGAGAATGTTTGGTGGTAAACCAATTCGAGACAATTTGTCCATTAATTTTTTGTGCGGAACACTATCGAAAGCTTTTCTGAAATCAAACAATACACAGAGAACATCACATTGCTTGTCAAGAAGAGAGAACCAGTCATGAGTTGCAGAGAGTAAAGCAGTAGTGGTTGATTTCCCCCATTGAAAACCCCATTGACAATCGGATATAGGTGAATGCTCGAGCAGATGATCCCAGAGAATTGCGTAAAGAATTTTCTCCAAAAGTTTACTAACAATGCTCAAGAGTGAGATAGATGGGTCACTTTTATCCTCGGACTTTGGAATTGGGACAATACTTGCTATCTTCCACATTTCCGGGAATTTTCCTGATGCAAGGGAGAGGTTAAATAATTGAGCTAGTGGTGGAGCAATGCTTCTGGCTGTTGCTTTCAGCATGAAAGCCGATATGCCGTCGGGGCCATTGGCTTTATTGACATCAAACCTCTTCAGGGGTGACTTCATGGGTTGGAAGGTCAGCGAAGTGATATGATTCTTCAGTGAGTGGCTGCTCCGCAGTGTTCCAGCAACTAGCAAAAAAAGTGTTCAGTAGCGATGCCTTTTCTGTGTTATCTGTAATAGTGTGATTCTCATGTTGAAGAGCTGGAATCGTTTCTCTATTTTTATTAAGCAGTTTTACAGTCTTCCAGAAATGGGAATAGCCATTAGCTACCAGTTTTTCTTTTTGGTTCTCATAAGGCCAACAATCTTGTTACTAAGTTTTTTGTACTGTTGAAAGTGTCGTTCAATGATCTCTTGGCTTTCTTGAAAAGAGTGTTGCGCTTACGAAGGAGCTGGATGTTTTCTGTAAGCCAGGGAAGGTTACGCCTCTTTCGTAGATAACGACATGGAATGCACTCTCCCATGATAACTAGCTAGATATCTCTCAAGAAAATTAGCAGCTGCTTTACTGACACTAACACCAGTTAAAATACTATCCCAGTCCGTTTCTGCAATAATTCTGCAAGCTTTCTCATAGTTAGCTAGCCTGACGGTAAAGCCAAACCCTTCTTGGTTTGCACAGTGGCTTGGCTTTTAATTTCCATTTTAGAACTTGAAAACACACTAGAAATATCTCACATGTAGGTGTCTTTCTGTTCCCCTTCTTTATCATGAGTTCTAAGGTGTCTATCTGTCGTATATTAGCTAGATGTGAATCCAGCGTTACTATAGCTAGCTACGCGCAGTGGATGATTGGGAGTCATGTCATGTGTGGTGACGTTTTTGAAGAGGATGTAGGGATGTTACCTCGTGAAAAGGAGAACAAGAAGATGTTTATGATGAAGACAAATCGCGTGTTAGCAAATTATGGGCGCTCGAGATCGGCCTGTTGTAGTGTATACGCGGATCACGTGACACCCGCGTTTACTCTTATAAACACGTAAAAACAACAGTGTGTGATCAGATTGCAACGAGCTTAGCCACGCAGACTTTAGCTCGTTGCATTGTGAAGTATGGTTCTTTTAGCAGTTTTATTTGCTGTCGTCCTTGGACTACACGGAGTCCTCGCTAAGGACGGTGCGTGGTATTTGTTTTCAACCCAGCTATTATTGTTCATCCTTCTCCCTGCAGACTGTGTTCGCAGTATACGTGACTATGACGAACAAGACTATCAAGTGCTAGCAGCGGACCCCTGGAAAATTGTCTGGATTCTACACTTATATACTGCCATGTGGAGGCATTGTCACTTCTGTCGAGGCTCGCGGGCTTTGTCGCAGACCCGACAATGTTGAAATGCAATTGATAACGGGTGCAAGAGCAGATCAACGTGGTATTGATGATGTGACTTTTTTATCATTAGTTGCAAAGTGCAATAAAACCGCGAAGGTTGGAAATAATTACGAAGGTTACGTCAGCGCCACTGGTCTAGAGATCCGTGTCCCTCGTGATGGTGTTCTGGTGGTGCACTTGAACCCAAATTGCTCAGGTACTAAGCATAAGTGTTTACTTTCAGCCAGCAGTTATAAATGAAACCAGCAACTACGATGTAGTTCTTGGTAATAGCCCCTATGAGTGGTTTCGCCCAAATATATCTCTCTTCTTCTCTGCAAACATTACAGGTAATTGCCACAATTGTCAAGTAACTGTCAAGTAATACACTTTAATGGTCTCTACACACAGGTATATAATTATGATGACGTCATTGCTAAATATCATGTATCAGTTTATGGTATCTACAAACAGAGTTACCACCGGAGACGGAGAATAAGGGAAGCACCATCAAGTATGTGCTAATAGGCATCGGCAGCTTCCTGCTACTATGTGGGACATTTGGCATAATTATTGCTGTCAAAAGACAATGTTTAAAAAGGAGAAGGAAGACACTTCATGAGCCACTAAATGTATGCACAGAGTTATTAGTACTTTTCAGGTCTCCATTAGCGTGTCACCTTTATGTGATTTAAGGATGAATTGTACTGGTGCATGCAGGTGGACAGATCCTACTATGACTATGTCAGAGACTACTATGTCAGAAAGTGGGGCAATGAAACACTGCAGCCTCAGCTGAGGGACTCTATGAGTTCAGCAGAGGCAATGATGTGCCATTCTGGGAGCCAGCCAGTGTGGAAGAGGAGCTGAAGAAACAGCTCACAGAATACACCATCTCACCTGATGGCCTCACGTGAGTCACCTACTGAAGAACTCATGCTTAGTGTATCGAATGAATGTTATGTAGACTTTCCAGTGAGCTGGGTAGTGGTGAGTTTGGTGTGGTGAGGAGGGGAGTGTGGAGTGTGGGGGGAGAGGAGAGGGAGGTGGCTGTAAAGTCACTGGCAGATGGCTCCACAGAGGAGAAACGTATTCAGTTCCTGCAGGAGGCAGCCATCATGGGCCAGTTCAAACATCCCAATGTCATCATTCTCCATGGGGTTCTTCTGGACAGCAAACAAGTTGGGTTGTCTTTTCTCAGTTTTATCTCTAAGACTTGTATTATGTTATCCTATGATGTTTTGAACAGATAATGATTGTTGTTGAACTAATGAAGATCGGCAACCTTCTAACACATCTTTGTTCATTTAAGCCTATGTATGAATAATTTCAGCCACGTACACAAACATTACACTTGTATTGCTACAGAGATGACTCTGAGAGTGTGCCTGCAAACACTGCTGCACTACTGCTGAGTTTCTGTCGTCAGATTGCCTCAGGAATGGCCTACTTGTCTGGGAAGGGGTTCATACACAGAGACCTGGCAGCCAGGAACATACTGGTCTCTCATGAGGAAATGTGCAAGGTCTGTCTTGATGTTTATTGCTTGCCATAAATCCCTTAGGCTATACCTCTCCCTCCTTCCAGATTGCTGACTTTGGCATGTCCAGAGCTCTGCAAGACACTGACTACTATGTCTCTCGTGGAGGGAAAATCCCTGTGAAATGGACAGCTCCAGAGGCTCTCCACTACAAGAAGTACTCGACTGCCAGTGACGTGTGGAGCTTTGGAATTGTCATGTATGAGATATGGTCTCCGGCGGCAAGGCCCTACAACTGGATGACTAATAATGAGGTTAGCAACAGGCTCAAAAACACAACAAACTGACATTTTGTTGTTTGTTTGTTTGTAGGTATACCAGAATATCCAGTCAGGATATCGCCTCCCTCCCCCACCTGGATGTCCTAGAGCTGTCTATCAGACCATGATCTCTTGTTGGTATGAGTATATAATGTATACTAACAGCTAGTGGAATGAAAACTACTTCTGATTTTTGCAGCCATTATATTTTATGCAGTGCATGTTGTTTGCACGTACACCTATGTCTGCCGAAGTCTTCTTGTAAAGTTAAGTAGCCCTAATTGTTGAGCTGCTGCTCTGGTGTTGCTTAGTAAAAAGTGAACTGTACTTAGATGCAATAATAATTATAAAGAGGCCTATAGTTGCACTGACACCCTGTGTTTCTATCAGGCACCCGGAGCCACACTCCAGGCCCACATTCCCCGACATCCAAACAGTGCTCCAGCGTCCAGACTTCAAGTTGCTGACATGGATGACAGAAGATGTGGCTGCCTACACTGAAGAGGCCAGAACACTGGGAGCTCCCCTGGATGCAGGAGAGGAACTCTACACTGACATTCAAAACTGTTACGTGTTAAAGTAAACGTTTATTTTGCCTTCACACAGTCACAGTTTTGACTCATAATCATGTATATATACACACCACAATGGTGACTTGGTGTGCCAGCCAAACACACTCGGTCTTTGTTGGTTAATACCATTATATACCACACTGTATGCATGTGCAATTCAACTGTGTAAAAACAGCATGGCTGTCTTGTTTCTTGCACCGATGTTCCTGACAAATCATTGACACCATTTTTGAGGTTGGGGGTGAATTGGCGAAGGTACTGCGAAATAGAGGTGAAAGAGGGATCGGCAAACCTCGATAGGGATTGTTGCAGAAAGACAGAGATGGTACTATTCCATACTCCAATCATATTCAATTTTGTTTGCTTGGCTCTTCTTAATCCGGTGCATCTATTAAAAAAATGCTAAATCTTTGAAACCCCCATTGGCGGTTTGAAGGTGGATTGGCAAGGGGACAGTGAAGAAAGGTAAAAGAGTGATTGGTGAAGCTAGATAAGGAGGGGTGAAGAAAGAAAGAGTGCATGACTATAATCCCATACTTCAACGATAGTCAAAATATCATGTTTGTTGGTTAATACCATTACCACTGTACGCATATGCCATTCAACTGTGTTAAAACAGTATGGTTGTCTTTTTTTCTTGCTCCTATGTTGCTGACAAATCCACTAAACAAACAGTAAATGTGGCGACAATATTGACATGTACTGACGGAACACCAACAAAGTGTTGATGACCTAGGTGGTATATAGAGTAATTAGTTGCTATTGATGAGCAAACACACACTAAACATTGGCAAATAATATAGTGAAATGTGCATGGATTCGTACTCACAAAATGAGAATCAAAATGTGACCAAAATACTTCAAGAACTTGATTCCGGATGGTAAGAATAGAATGATCAAGGTTAATATGTGGGAGAGAGTTCCAGAGCCGTGGAAGTCTGTTGAAATACAAGTGACGTGTAACGTTGGATTTACAGAAGGAATGCATCAGCTTCAGGTGGGTTGAAGACCAGGTATTGACTTCTGAGAAATGTACGAAAGACTGCAGGGGAAAGGTATAGAGGGATCAGGGGTCTTGAGGCAACGGATGAAGAACATGTCACACAGTTCAAGTTGCATAACGAGAGTGATAAGTCTAAGTGACAGTAAGCGATGCTTGTAATCTGACTTATAGTCGTTCAGAATAATACTTTGTAGCACAACTCTGAATTCGTTCCAACATAATAATATCCTTGACGAGATGGGGCCTCCAAATCTGTGAACCGTAGGACAGTTGAGAACGAACTAAGAGGATGTACAAGTTCTTTTTAGCCTTAGTATCAAGACCAGGGAAAATGAACGCCGATTGAGGCCTATGTGAACCATATTTTGACTTGGATGTCTCTCTGCTATGCCTGTGAACCCAACGGTACCATAGCATGTATTAGAGCGTCGGTAGACGCCCTATATAGGGATGATGCGAGTGAAATATCACGTGATCCGCGTTCAAAACTCGGGAAGAATGACTCACTATGGCTTCAAAATCACTAGCAACAGTCTAGATGCCAATACCTAGCTATACATATGCCCCAAGACTTCCTACGTGCCCTCAGTTCTCCACGAGATTTCGCGATTTTCGTGTCACCATAATATTCTTCATCTTCCGGTTTCTTCTTCAGTAAACCCGCTATCTCTTTACCGAATACAGTTAAAGCGTTGATTTTTGTACAGAACGTCTCCCAATTTTCCGGAGGTGTGCACGGATATCAAGCGATCGTTTCTTTCTTGCCGCAAGCCACTACGGTAGATCGTTGAGCTCTTCCTCGGTAGTCACTGAACAACGCCATTTGCTGCTAACTCAGCATCAGTGATCCGCATGCGCAGAGGAGGGGGCGTTTCAAATGCGGTGCGCGCGCACGCACGTCTAAGTCACGATGCCCGCGGAGGAACTCGTCTCTCCTCCAGTGCCTTCTGTATGTCAGTATACACATTTCTAACTGGCTAGCTTGCGTTTTGCTGTTGATTTGCACGAGGAGCAACTTAGCCGTCTGCGCCGTGTTACGCGAGCTTCACCTGGCGTACAAATGAGCCTTTATTCTTTGTCCCTCGGGTTATAGCTATCATTGTAGTCTGATTACTGAAGCCTGCCCATGAAACCACCACTACAGCCACAACCTAATTGTGTCCTTGTTGGAGACACTGCGCATTATACACCCTGCTTCAGGTATATATAGCAGCCCATTAGCTACAGTTATCTCTACAACATAGCTACCATGAACATCTGAGTGACTGCAAATACAGTGTTGTCATAAGCCGTTAACAATAGTGGAAACAAGTGGAAAAATCATTTCTTCAAAATGAAAGGGGGATACAGGGATGGTTTTAAGCACCAAAAAGGAAGAAACAAGGGGTCATTACACAGCAAAGATGCACAAAGCTATCAGACCATGATCAACTGCTGGTAAGACTGACATAAAGTGTGTGTTTAAATGTGTTTGTCTGTGAAAGGAACCCGGAGCCAGAGTCCAGGCCCACATTCCCCGACATCCAAACAGTGCTCCAGCGTCCAGACTTCAAGTTGCTGACATGGACGGCAGAGGATGTGGCTGCCTACACTGAAGAGGCCAGAACACTAGGAGCTCCCCTGGAGGCTGGAGAGGAACTCTACACTGAGATGCAAAAGACTTACATTTAAAAGCACTGAATTATAATGATTTTATCCATGCGCTGTTTTAATGGTACTGCAGGTGTCAAGACATGAGTACCTAGTAGGTAGCTACATGCTATAGCTATACGTGGGGACCGTTGGCATATATAGCAGATACGTAGCTAGACACCCAAGTCGAAATAATTTTTGAAGGGATGTAGGGATGTCACCTCGTGAAAAAAAGAGAACTAGAAACCCGAAACAGAAGAAGATGATGAAGGATGACAATATTAATCTCGAAATTGCGTGTTAGCTAGCTACCATAAAGCACGTAGGAACGTGTATGCGGATCACGTGACACGCGCGCTACTCGGCTCCAGCCCCTTCGCTAGAAATTGCAACGAGTTTAGCTAGACTATAGCTTGTTGCAATTGTAAGGCATGGTTCTTTTAGCAGTCTTGTTGTTTGCTGTCGTTTTTGGACTACACGGAGTACTCACTGAGGACGGTGCGTGGTATTTTTAACCTAGCTTTCTCCCTAGACTGCGTTCGCAGTATACGTGTGACTACGACGAACAAGACTAGCAGCAGCAGACCCCTGGAGAACTTCTGGATTCTACAGTTATATATACTGCCATGTGGAGGCATTGTCACTTCTGTTGAGGCTCGCGGGCTTTGTCGCAGACCCGACAATGTTGAAATGCAATTGATAACGGGTGCAAATGCAGAACGTGGTATTGGTGACTTGAGTAATTATGCAAAGTGCAACAAAACCGCGAAGGTTGGAAATAATTACGAAGGGTACGTCAGCGCCACTGGTCTAGAGATCCGTGTCCCTCGTGGTTGTGTTCTGAACCCAGATTGCTCAAGTTATAGCCATAAGTGTTTATTAACCCTCGGCGCGCATGCGCAGCGAGGGTTACAGTAGTTGGGTTTGTCTGTCAGTCTGTCTGTTACTCTTCATCTCACTTCTCGAATGTTCTTTCGTCTCACAAAGGATACCACCTACTGAATGGGCAATGAAGGTCAGAAAATTTGTGGGGTTTTCTCTGAAACTGCTCCGTTGCAAAGCTAGAGCGCGAAAAAGCCAATATGCAAATACACAACGGACGGGACGCCCGGCTTACCGCGGTCTGATCGCGGTCTGATCGCGGTCTGATCGATCCGCGTGCTCTGCGTATATACCTCGGAGGCACCAGAAGATGCAACGCAGGGCGTGTATCGCCTCTCGCATGCTATCTAGTAGTGTAGTTAGCCCGCGTCAGACTCTGCGCGAGCTGGGAAGAGACCACGAGTGACAGATAAAACTAAACCCAGCCCATCAATTAGTGGTACGGCGCATGCGTTTACTTACGCGTGCGTGTCACAGTGCGCCGAGGGTTTGCACTTCAGTGCTTTTCATTTCAGCCAGCAGTTATAAATGAAACCAGTAAGTACGATGTAGTTTATGGTGATAGCAACTTGGAGTGGTCTTGCCCAAATATGTCTCTCTTCTTCTCTGCAAACATTACAGGTATTTTACCATAATAATCAGTATACAAAATATTACTTATGGTCTCTACAAACAGAGTTACCAGAGTTGCCAGATGAGAATAAGAAGGAGAGTGAAAGTAGTAATATCACACTCATGATAATTGGTGTCCTCTGCTTCCTGCTGCTGTGTGCAACACATGGAATTATTGCTCTTTCCATCAAAAGGTGGTCCAAAAAGAAGACACCAGCAAAGTTATTGCATATGCAGGTAGCTATGGGTCAAAAATCTCTGCAATTGGTGAAATCCCAACTTCAACCAATTGGAAGGTGGAAAGAGAGAAAGAGGCAATGAGTTGTTGAAGATCTCTAATGGAGACCCTCCCCCTCCTTCTGCTAAACCAGAGGAGATGATGTATGAGGTTGTCTTGCCCCCTGCTCCCAGCAGCAGGCCTCTCCCCACAATCCCTTTCCCTCTGTCTGGTGGAACAGAGGAGGAGGATGAACTGTACAACTGCTGTCTATGAGGTCATTCCTGGATATATCTGACTCGTCTAGTTTGAATAATGACTCTAAGATATTTACTAGATGGATAATAAAGCAAACGTGTCTAGTTCAGTTTGTACAACATCTCTAATGGACATATTGGACATAGCTAATTGACAAACCGTTTAGCATCATGACATGTGTGTATTTTGCAATGCATGTGAGTCCAAGGTGTGATTGTATATCAGAGCGTCGGTCGACGCTCTATGTAGGGATGACACGCGAGTGAAATCTCACGTGATCCGGGTACAAAACGCCTCGAAACTCGGCGAGAATGGCTAGCTATGCCTTCAAAACACACCAAAAATCACTCACGGGTCCATATCTACCTATACATATGCCCAAAAGTTCCATACGTCCCTGCAATTCTCGACACGAGAAACCGCTCATACGCGATTTCACAATTTTCGTGTCATCTTAATTATTCTTCATCTTCTTCTTCTTCTTTAGACCCGATTTCTCCTTACCGGAACAAGTTCAAGCGCTGATTTTCCCATTAAACGTACCCCGCTATGGTGGAGGTGTGCATCGTCGTCAAGCGATGTTCGTTTTCTTGCTGCCAATCGGTACGGAAGATCTAGCGTAAAATATTGCTCACAGAAAACGACGCCATTTTCACGGTCGATTCAGACCCCACCCACTCCCGGCGACGCGGCAGCGTGGTTGCCGCTCCGCTCGCTCTCGTCTGTTGAGCTCCGTCTGGCCGAGTTTTGTGTCCATGTTTCGCCTGTTTCTGCCGAGTCTGGTTACGATCAGTGCTTTTCTCTGTCCTTGTTCCACACGTCGACACTTGGTGTCAGTCTCTTTCGCTCTGCTAATTGAGCTTCGTGTACCGCGCTGATTTCACAAGTAAGTGTTGGTATTACAAAACATATTGCGTAACTTTCTACCTCTGAGGTTCATGCGTTACATCGGCACCCCGTCCGGTGTTTTGTACTGGCCCCTGCTACTACTACCTTCGACTGGAGTTGGGGCCACAGCTACTCATTTCGTTTTCAATGTAAGCTCTGCAAACTGTCTCCATATGGTTGTATTCAGTCTCTCATTTGCCCTATTTGCCATTAGCTCTTTATTTCGAGGTGCTACACGACACTCCTTCGTGCCTGGGTGTACCCACTGGCCCTGAGGCACTCTTCTGTAGTTCGTGGTGCACTGGTCTCATGGAGTCGCAAACCGTCTCAACTGCATTACTGTCGTTGTTGATACCTGTTCCCACTCTGTCCATCACTTTTCCACCTCGCCCTCGAGTGAGTCGTTGATACTGAAAACATCACACCCGGTTCTTTTGTCTGATTGCAAACCGTCTCAACTGTGTTGCTGTTGTACCTGTTCCCACTTTCCCCCTCACTTTTCCACCTCGCCCTCTAGCTGCCCTGTAGCTGCAACTGAATCGTTGATACTGAAACACCACACCCGCTTTTTTCATTCTTTCGTCTGAAATCTTGTGCCCTCCACTCTACCACATGTTTGCTGATAGTTGTCACTGCAAGACAACACCCAAGACAACAACACCTGGGCTTCCATTCAGATAAGTTCAATTTTGCTGCTGGGAAAAAGCCTTACCGCTCCCCAAGAAAAAAGAGGGCATGTGCCAAGAGATATTATGTGCTGAATTCTGAGGAAATAAAAGCTAGAGGTAGATCCCTTTATTTGTCAGACCCTGATAAGATAAAGGTGGTGGCTAGGACCTCCTATCATGCTGATCCTAAAAAGAAAAAGGCAGCCTCATATTGGTGCTGATCCTGATAAAAAGAAGGCTGCCCTATATTGTGCTGATTCTGATAAGAAAAAGCAGCATCTAGGGCCCTGTATAATCTGCACCCTTTGAAGAAAAATATACCACATGTCTCTAGAAGAAAGAGGAAGCTCACTGGTGTAGACATAACTGTGTCCCCAAGTGCAAAAAAGGTCAAGGTCAATCCCACATCTGCAGGGAAAATGAGGACTGTGTTATTACAGGTACAGAAACACCTGCTGCTACTCCTTTCAATTTCCACTCTGTAGATGTACAGTGCAGCGAAGTGCATGCCAAGAGCTGGGCCTCCAATATTGTACACAAACACCAGTAAGACCAGGAGGATCCACTGTCCCCCTCACACGTCCAGACATGCGTAGTGTGAGACGCGTACAGGGAGATGGAGATGGTAACTGCCTCTTTAGGGCATTATGTTACATTCTGACAGGGTCTGCAGATCAGTATATGGGTGTACGACATGCTATCCTTGACCACATGACAAATAATGCCCAATATTTCCTAGGCCACAATCTCATAGGCTATGGCAGTATTCAAAGTTATATAGCTTCCACAGGTATGGACCAAGATGGGGCCTGGGAACTGACATTGAGATGCTGTCTTTGGCACACCTGCTCCAGACCCCTGTCTTCTCATACAGCCAGCAGCATGGGCAGTGGCAGCGGCATACTCTCCTCATGATGTCACAGACAACTGATGGATGACATTTACCAGAGGTCTATGTATCTATTGCACACAGACACCACTTCAATGTGTTGGTTCCATAAGGAAGAATTAGTGTAACCACATGTGCCTATAGATATATATATACCTCTCAGAGGTATTGGGGAAGGAGAGGGTGGGTCCCTGCAATTTAGTTGAGGGCCCCTTCCCCATTTCATGCTATAACCACTGTATAAAGTGTGATTTACATGTCCTGTACATGACTTCTGACATGTTGGGGAAGAAGAGGGTGGGTCCCTGCAATTATATGAGGTGGCTTCCCCAGTTCATGTTCTAACCACTCTCCTAAAGTCTCCAGACTTCATGGAGCTGACTGGTTTCAAGTGTAGGGAAACTGCACTGTCTTTACCACAGTTTTAGGGGCTGTAACTGTTGTATGCGAACATAGTGAATATCCCTGCATGTAAACAGGTCTTATTAGCTCTGTCAGTATTATGATCCTCCTCCATTGAGGAGTGCACTCTGCAGTACGCTACACCTGTTGGGATACTAACAGCTACATGAAGCTACACCACTCCACCTCAGACATATCGAGTGCACGCGTAAATATTGAATGCCGTATATTATCCAGCACCTCCTTCCTAGCATGCAGCCTTCACATAGTATTCGTGACACGGTGGTTACTAGCATACAGGCTCGCTCTTTTCTTTATTATTATCTGTTTTCGGGAGCTCTCTATCTCTGTAAAAAACAAGTGCTGCAGGTCTCTGAGGCTGTCATTTCTGTCTAAGGGCCTCTGTGGCTCTCCAACGCATAGGTCTGGAGAGAGGTGACTGTCAGGGAACAGCACATCGCGTGTAAGGCAGATAAGTCTGGCGCCTTGGCAGTGGGCTGCTGAAGTGTTTTGCTTCCTAGCCCTTATCGCTGACTTTACACATCCTGTGTCCAGGCCTATCAGCATCACACACCAGTGCTGACTTAGCTATTAGTAGCTCTAGCCAATTTGGGTTGCATTCCTCACTCATTTACCATCTTTATCTTCTAAGGTGCTGTCCCCTTGTTGTCAGACTCGCGGACCTCGATGTCCGCAAGCTTCTACGAGTCACACTCGGGCACTAACCCTCTTTGGCCTCCCACCTTTGACTTCGCTGGGTAGCTGGAGCCATCTTCAAATAGTGAAGCTCTCCTGCAAACAAATCAGCAGCATTGTCTAATTCAATTTTAACTAATATGTTTTTAAGCTTAGGATGTTTCGGCATGGCGCCCTGCTACTATAATATAGAACCAGCATGGAACCGAGGAAAAGTGGGGGAGAAATGTGGGGACACATAGGACGTGGGGTATGTGGGGAACGGAGGAATTATTGGAGAAAATTAGGAGTGAGGGGCTGCAACGGATATGGCCGGGGAGGGTGGAAGGAAGGAATGTATTGTAGGTGGAGGGGGGATGGTCGATGAAGAGATGGGTGGAGGTAAGAGGTTCGGGGAGTGGGGGGCAGAAGAAGATGTGAGAGGGGATAGGGTTAAGAGGGCCTAATGCATGGGGAGGAAATTGAGGGGGTCGGGTATGATTAAAGTTGGACAGAGAAGAAGGGAGGAGTTAGGTGAAGGGGAGGAGGAGAAGATAAGAAGGAGGAGTCTGGGGGGCTGTCAATAGGGTCAGGGAGAATCTCTCAACTGATTTCAACTTGAGTGGATGTAAATGGGGGGAGGGTGGGACTTGCTTCTATCTTTCTGTCGCTCCATTTC